GAGATGAAGAGAAACTCTAGGGAGGTGAGGAAGACTTATCATGCTTGTTTAGCGCCTGTCTTGTCTCTTTTTCGTCCGAGTGTATTAGCGCTGTGCCACATATCGAAGCATATATAAGTAATATAACCAGTTAGCCTGAAAAACTACATTCGCAACATTTTTTCGCCGTACAGCCTTGTATATTGAAGTAATATATGGAAAGGTGTGGAAAAGAGAAACCGTGGTGAGAAGAGGATAGAGCAAAACACATGGTATGGAAAGAAAAAATATAGGAAAAGACTGAAAAGAAGGCGAGATAAAGATATCCAAAAAGGATGCGAGAAGCATAGAGGAAGAAAAGAAAGACCGTCACAAAGAAATAATGGAGAGAAAGAAAGAAAGGAAGAAAGAACGAAAGAATTAAAGAAATAAAAAAAGAAAGGAAGAAGGAAAGAAAGAAAACACTTAAAGAGATGAAAAAAAGAAAAGACATTCACAAATCATATGGAGAAATGAAGAAATAGAGGAAGAAAGGAATAAATTGCAAACCTTAGCAAAACATAAAGGCCTATGAATACAGGGAACGTATAGATGGGGACGAAGGAAGAAAACACAAGACATAGTGCAGTGCGTATGTCTTCAGTGTTCTCCATTCGTCGCCGTCAATTTGCGTTGTGTAGCCTTCCATGTGCTTTACCAGCTAGCTTACCAAGCCATTTATTGAAAAACAGCAAATGCAAGAACCATACCTCAATAGGCGCCCACCAGCTTGATGTTTCTTTGGCATTGGGCATCTCGGTGCAAGATGCAGCAATTTTCTTTTTCAGAAAAGCAAATGGGTTTTGAAGGAGTACTTACTGTGGAGATTTTTTTGGCATGAAGCCACAACCACCACAAAGAGCTGTTTTGGAAACTAAGAGATGTCGTCTCAGGGATACGCGTGGGGACTTCTTGATTTTTCTCCTTTACTCTGTGGTACAGAGTATGCTTAATATGGAAGTTAGATTGCCTGAGCAATGATGGCCTGCAGGCTAATTCACTCTTTTGAAAGTACATCACTTCAATGACAAGGACGTGGCGATGTTATCACTTCACTTTCATACTATAAGCGAAAGCTACTATTCTTGCTTGGCAGGAATTGACACTTTCAGCTAATACGGCTGACTTACGCGGCTCATAGATCCCCGATGACGAGTTTTAGAGGTGGGCGTTCAGCTTCAAAATTTTGCGCACAAAATATTCTGAATTCTCAGGTTGTGGCGCACTCATGTTCAGGACACAATATCATTCGATGGCCAAGCTCTCTCCGGAACGCTGCTGCGGCGCGCTTTGCTGTGCTGAAAAGTCTACACAAGGAAATTCTTTTGTCGTTTTGCCGATACTTCGCTCACAATATAATCAGAATATTCGGGGAATATTTTGGGTACCACATCAGGTTTGAAGCATGGCTTGTCGTGGGGGCGCTTGCTGAAAACACCGTTCACGGTGATGGTTAGTATGCAGTCGGTAAAACTCTCTTTAAAATGGTTTTCACGGATTACTGCAGTTCGTGGAAGTCTCCCATCCGCTTCTTCATCTTTCTGTTCTATTCCGCGAGACGTGCTTTGTCTGATGGTGTCATGAATAATGGTAGTGGTTGTTAGTTCGAACGGTATAACCAGTTGTACAGAATGGCACGAAGAAGGTCATTTTTGTGGATCGCTTTGACTTCGACATTCTATATTAACCTTATAGTTGCCGTTGTGACAGGCACACAAACACGACAACCAACCGTTGACGATGTGCACAAATACACAACCTGGTAATAACGCTGAAAACACGAACACAAAAATATAAGCAACCACTGCAAATCGGCTGTGCGGAGCAGACGACACAACCTGTCGGCCCCCACGCGATTGGTAACGCCCCCCGCGGGCATTCATCCGAATCAGTGCCACTCTCCTCCACTGAAAAGAGCTGGCAAACGGCTTACAAGCTAGCATATTGTAATCATTATATTTTACTACTACTACTACTACTACTACTACTGCTGCTTGCTGCTTGCTGCTGCTGCTTGCTGCTGCTGCTGCTGCTGCTGCTGCTGCTGCTGCTGCGGCTGCTGCTGCTGTGCTGCTGCTGCTGCTGCTGCTGCTGCTGCTGCTTGCTGCTGCTGCTGCTGCTGCTGCTGCTGCGCTGCTGCTGCTGCTGCTGCTGCTGCTGCTGCTGCTGCTGCTGCTGCTGCTGCTGCTGCTGCTGCTGCTGCTGCTGCTGCTGCTGCTGCTGCTGCTGCTGCTGCTGCTGCTGCTGCTGCTGCTGCTGCTGCTGCTGCTGCTGCTGCTGCTGCTGCTGCTGCTGCTGCTGCTGCTGCTGCTGCTGCTGCTGCTGAGCTGCTGCTGCTGCTGCTGCTGCTGCTGCTGCTGCTGCTGCTGCTGCTGTGCTGCTGCTGCTGCTGCTGCTGATGCTGCTGCTGCTGCTGCTGCTGCTGCTGCTGCTGCTGTGCTGCTGCTGCTGCTGCTGCTGCTGCTGCTGCTGCTGCTGCTGCTGCTGCTGCTGCTGCTGCTGCTGCTGCTGCTGCTGCTGCTGCTGCTGCTGCTGCTGCTGCTGCTGATGCTGCTGCTGCTCTGCTGCTGCTGCTGCTGCTGCTGCTGCTGCTGCTGCTGCTGCTGCTGCTGCTGCTGCTGCTGCTGCTGCTGCTGCTGCTGCTGCTGCTGCTGCTGCTGCTGCTGCTGCTGCTGCTGCTGCTGCTGCTGCTGCTGCTGCTGATGCTGGTCTCTGGGGCGCGCGCTTATCATACTCGTAATTCGGGAGACGACGAAAGTCACTTTGCAAGCTGCCGTTAGGCCGCGTTCACACTGAGCATTCCGGCCGCCGAAAGTGCTCCGAATCCGGTTCGGCGGCGGCGAGATCCGCTGAAAGGGCCGTCTCCGCTCCGATCGCTCTCGGACCGATTTTTGCGGCGTCTGCCGCCGAATCGGTCACCGCAGACCAATAAGAGCGCTAGTCAAGGAATTTCGAAAAATGGCGGCCAAGCCCTACTCCCTTGTTATGCCGCAGTGCACGGAACTGCATGTTAAAACCAACGGGAGTTTAACCTACTCTGTGACTACTTCGCCTCCGTATTCCGTGAAAGAGGTGACCGAGCTTGCTGTTGGCGTGACCGAGCTTGTTGCGGCGTTGCAGAGCAAAACGAACCCACCAACGCCGCTGGCGTCGGTGGTTTTCCTGCTCTTCGTGCATTACAAGACAGCCAGCAAAGTAAGCAGTACTGTCTTTTCTTGCTTCTTGCGTACGATAATCGTCGAAGTATACACCACCGGATAGCGTAGTAGCGTTTGCGAGCCGCGACAACAACCGGGTGACAGCGCGTCCATCCTGCGTTCGCCCCGTAGTACATGGCATATTCGGCGGTGCGGGGCGCGTCCAGTGCGAACGACGCTGCGTTTCGGCGGCAGGGAAATTTCGGTCGCTGTAGAAAGCGGATGTTTCAGTGTGAACTAGGCCTTCCAAAAGGAGCGCGTTGCTGACACACGACGCAGGACGAACTGTGACAGTTGTTCACACTTGTTCTGTATATACTTGTGCGCCCGTTTCATGTGCCTTTCTTTCTGTTTGAACAGCGCGCTTTAAGTGTCAAGCTGTGAAAATTTTGTTATTCTGCGTTCATGCTGTGTATGCTTATTTCGTGTAGGCTTTATGCTTGAGGTGCGCGCTGAAGGTTTCGAGCTGCCTCTCCGTGGTGGTCTAGTGGCTAATATACTCGGCTGCTTATTCGCACGTGGCGGGATCGAATCCCGGCTGCCGTGGCTGCATTTTCGATGAAGGCAAAAATGCTGTAGGCCCGTGTGCCCAGATTCGAGTGCAAGTTAAAGAACCCCAGGTGGACAAAATTTCTGGAGCCCTCCACTATGGCGTGTCTCATAATCATATGGTGGTTTTGGGACGTTAAACCCCCATATCAATCCATCAAAGTTCTGAGCTACTTGCCCCCTCAACGTTACTTTCAAATTTTACTGTCTGAAGCAACGCTCAACAACTGCTGTAAAAAAACGTTTCACTTTCGTGTCATAACCATTCCTATGTAGGGAGATCAGCCACTCTTTCATTTAATTTTTATATTGTGAGCTCGTCAGTGTTATTCAGCGCTGTGTGCACCCTCTTCTGTTCCCACGTGTTGGTTGCGCAGATTTTCACTCATAACCCTGATAACACATGTGATGTTGCCTTGCATAAGCGCGGAATCGCCGAAGGTGTCGCACCATGCGAAATACGTATAGGGTGGGTTGTTTGAAGCTCGACCTCTTACAAAGCGCAGAGGCGTTTAAGTTCTGATCATCAGTCACAGCATGGCTTGACATCTCTGCCACTCTTAAAAAACAAAAAAAGACAGTTAGAGTAGCGATGACAAAGGTTTGTCATCGCACATGTTCTCATTGCTCATACTGTCCTGGTCTATTATAAGCGGTCAAGAGGCAAAGTGCCAACTACGCAAGACTCGAGCCACAAAATTAAAGTGTCCAGCTGTGTAGGTTCACGTTTTCCCGTTAAGAGTTATAGTATAGGTGCTTCGTTACTCTTGAAAATGATGAATTATGGCTAGCACTTTGCAAATTCACATGTATACGGCGTTCAAGGAGAGATTGGCATAATTTAAAACTGCCATTGCCACGAACGCGGACGTTGTTTACATCCATGGCCGGTTGTAACCTCAACTGAGAAGCGTAGCGTATATAGCAAGCGAGAAAAAAGGAAAGCGAACGAGGCCCTGTTGTGTTATCACTCTTTAGGTGAAGCTTGAGCGTCTACGAAATGGTGTGAATTCTTGTGCAGGATTTTTATTTAATAATGTTGACAAAGTGATCATACGTACATAGTTTTATATATTTGAGGTTTAGCATGAAAACAAAACGAGAAGATATGCAATCTATTATGAGGGCACCGACTCATATTTCTGAGCTAAGCACAACTGTTACGGGACGCTGTTGATTTGCGAAAGCAAAGAATAAGTTTGACAAAGTCATAACTCCAAATTCCTCTATATGCAGATAGCCAGTTTTGCCTTGAGCAGTGTCAGCGGTGTGCTTTGCCTGGTGGCTGCTGCTGCTGCTGCTGCTGCTGCTGCTGCTGCTGCTAGCTGCTGCTGCTGCTTGCTGCTGCTGCTGCTGGCTGCTGCTGCTGCTGCTGCTGCTGCTGCTGCTGCGCTGCGCTGCTGCTGCTGCCTGCTGCTGCTGCTGCTGCTGCTGCTGCTGCTGCTGCTGCTGCTGCTGCTGCTGCTGCTGCTGATGCTGCTGCTGCTGCTGCTGCTGCTGCTGCTGCTGCTGCTGGCTGCTGCTCTGCTGCTGCTGCTTGCTGCTGCTGCGCTGCTGCTGCTGCTGCGCTGCTGGCTGCTGCTGCTGCTGCTGCTGCTGCTGCTGCTGCTGCTGCTGCTGCGGCTGCTGGCTGCGCTGCTGCTGCTGCTGCTGCTGCTGCTGCTGCTGCTGCCTGCTGCTGCTGCTGCTGCTGCTGCTGCTGCTGCTGCTGCTGCTGCTGCTGCTGCTGCTGCTGCTGCTGCTGCTGCTGCTGCTGCTGCTGCTGCTGCTGCTGCTGCGCTGCTGCTCTGCTGCTGCTGCTTGCTGCTTGCTGCTTGCTGCTGGCTGCTTGCTGCTGCTGCTTGCTGCTTGCTGCTGCTGCTTGCTGCTGCTGCTGCTGCTGCTGCTGCTGAGTGAACGACCCACAGTTCAATGTGCTTCACCGTGAAAAAATTGCTCCACAACCCATGGAGTGATGCGCCTGCTTCTTCTGGATGTACAAACTTTGCGCTTGCCGTTTATGCTTGCCCCGCGAAAACCCGGTGCTGGCCACGTAACCTTAACAAGGTGGCGCACAGCGAGGCATAAGGATTGGTGGGCCATGCAATACCTGAAGTGGCTGAATCTTCCGCTCTTGAGTTAAGGAACCAGTTCGTAACGTACAACAAACCTAACCAAACAGTATTACTTGGAGCGCAGGGAATTCCCCATGCCACATTCGAGACTTAACAGACCACATGCAGTTACATTGAGACTTGTGCAGTCGCGGATGTGCCCCAACGTGGTCGTCATGAAAATAGTTATTCCGGACTGTGAGGTTTCGATCTATTTTGTTTGATTTTGAACACATGCTCTGGCGCTGCTGGCCATTGGCCGGTGTGGCTTCTCACAGTGAACAGTGGTGGCAGCGAATTCTGCACAGTGACGCGCTGGTGGAACAACTCAGGGCTGTACAGAGGGCCCGTGTGGTGGCAGAGGGGCTTGGCCTCTCTGTCCCGAAGTGGGAGCAGCCAGCATGAGTCATGTACTGATCCCCAGGACTTTAATAGTGTTCTTTAAATTATACCATGCCACATCATAGCATACCCCAGACAAGACATATTGCGCAGTGCGTTTTTATCTGGTCGGGCCTCGACGTTTAACTCCAACATGCAACCAGTAGGCATCTTGGTCCATGTTAGGCATCGAATAAGTCGAGTTCTTCTGCCTGTCACATCGCTTTTTTTTTTGGTTCCGCATTCACCTATGACCTCAAAAGCCTATTTAATCATTATTGATGAATTTTAGCCTTCGAGATGGTGATGTATGACTCAGCTTCATGGGGACGCATCCACGTTAGGCGGTATTATAGCTCTCAAACACCAATACACATTGCGCAAACACTCTTATAAAAATATTCAGTAAATCGCAAATGAGTTAGTGTTTTGTTATTGCTCACTGAACTATTGAACTGCTCTTAGGACGTGTTTTACTTTCGTATTTTAGCTATTTATATGACGGAGCCATCAAACCTGTTGGTTTTTTTTTTTTTCAAGAAAGTGTTTCATTTCTTCACATGAAAGTGCGGAGGTCCACCGCGGCTCTGCTCAGGTACTTCTGTCACGGAAGTGACACTGAAAATATGTATTCAGAAATTTCAGGAAGAAATACCGTAGGCAAGCATTCGTCGTGACCAATCGAACCAGCTACCTCTTGAACCTCAGCGCACGGCCCTAACCACTACGACACGGACCGTGCATTGTCGGGAACACTAACGGCACGCTATCTATATACACCATGCACGGTTTCGCAGTCGTCAGAGCTTCGAAGCTTGAGCACGTTTCTGCTATCAGTGGTGAGATGGCGCGACGAGCTCGCTTTAGGTAAAGTCCCTGAAAAATAAAGTAGCACCAACCGCACCCCTTCGCCTCTACCTCCTCTCCCAGCAGCCACAGCAGCAGTGTCCACCAGGAAACTACGAATGCGAAAGCACGCGGGCGCACTGGATGTGCCAGACACTTGGGCAGCTCGGGCACTGCTGCATATAATGCTAAGTACACAGGCCCCAAGATTTGCGCCTCAATCGAAAATGCAGCCGCCGCGGTCGGCATGGATCAAGCCAGAGACGCAACGTTTACACGGCACTAAACGCGGCACGCGTTTCAACTGGCATGCACGTTTACCATCGACGCGGTTACTCTATTTGTGTGATGCTCGAGCTTGACAGTACCGCAACACTGTAAACACGAATACAAGCGACACGATAGAGTTTAGCTCGCCGGTACTCACCTCACAAAGAAGCGACAATGCAGGGTCCAAGTCAGTCCTTCCGATACGCTGGAGCCACACTTCTTGCCGAGCGGCATTGTCTTTTCCTCGCGGAAGCGAAAATAGCTTCTTTCCTCTGCTGTACCTGCTTTTGCAACCGCTGGCACAGCAGGTCGGCATCCTGAAACGTGCAGGATTACCGTGCACACACTCATGCGCGGTCGAACTCCGGCTACACAACAATACCAAGCGCGCACGCCTAGCCACAAACAAACACCGCGAAAGTGGACAAACAAAATGGCGTTTGCGATACCTTCACAAATGCTTGTGCGTCGTGCTGCAGATTCTTAGCACCGCCGAGTTTATCACACAGACAGCAGTGGCGCTGCCATCGAGAGCGACACCGCTGAGCGCGTCTGCATGCAAACGGTGGGCTATCGCGTTGAGTATTGCCTGCTTGCGGTGATGTCTTTTGCCACTGCATGCCACTTGCTTATATACACGTCACATCGTTGTATTTAACGTTACTTTTTATATTATTTTTCTTTCTCAATCACTCTTTCGGTGCATCGCCTAGAACTGCAGCGCCCAGATGCGCTTTAACGGAAACATGAGCACAAGCTCATCTTTGCGGCCAGGAGCCATACGGCCCCTCAACTAGCGTTGTTTACTATCTGCAATGCACGCGAGGGGAGAGGAGTCTGCACATTGACACGAATGGCGCTACTTTAGTTTATTTTTCAGGGACTTTAGCTTTAGGCACGCTCGCTTCCACTAAGCGCCGCCTCCACAGAGCATGGTCTCCGGGGCGCGCGCTTATCATACTCGTAATTCGGGAGACGACGAAAGTCACTTTGCAAGCTGCCGTTAGGCCGCGTTCACACTGAGCATTCCGGCCGCCGAAAGTGCTCCGAATTCGGTTCGGCGGCGGCGAGATCCGCCGAAAGGGCCGTCTCCGTGCCGATCGCTCTCGGACCGATTTTTGCGGCGTCTGCCGCCGAATCGGTCACCGCAGACCAATAGGAGCGCTAGTCAAGGAATTTCGAAAAATGGCGGCCAAGCCCTACTCACTTGTTATGCCGCAGTGCACGGAACTGCATGTTAAAACCAACGGGAGTTTAACCTACTCTGTGACTACTTCGCCTCCGTATTCCGTGAAAGAGGTGACCGAGCTTGCTGTTGGCCTGACCGAGCTTGTTGCGGCGTTGCAGAGCAAAACGAACCCACCAACGCCGCTGGCGTCGGTGGTTTTCCTGCTCTTCGTGCATTACAAGACATCCATTACAAGACAGCCAGCAAAGTAAGCAGTACTGTCTTTTCTTGCTTCTTGCGTACGATAATCGTCGAAGTATACACCACCGGATAGCGTAGTAGCGTTTGCGAGCCGCGACAACAACCGGGTGACAGCGCGTCCATCCTGCGTTCGCCCCGTAGTACACGGCATATTCGGCGGTGCGGGGCGCGTCCAGTGCGAACGACGCTGCGTTTCGGCGGCAGGGAAATTTCGGTCACTGTAGAAAGCGGATGTTTCAGTGTGAACTAGACCTTCCAAAAGGAGCGCGTTGCTGACACACGACGCAGGACGAACTGTGACAGTTGTTCACACTTGTTCTGTATATACTTGTGCGCCCGTTTCATGTGCCTTTCTTTCTGTTTGAACAGCGCGCTTTAAGTGTCAAGCTGTGAAAATTTTGTTATTCTGCGTTCATGCTGTGTATGCTTATTTCGTGTAGGCTTTATGCTTGAGGTGCGCGCTGAAGGTTTCGAGCTGCCTCTCCGTGGTGGTCTAGTGGCTAATATACTCGGCTGCTTATTCGCACGTGGCGGGATCGAATCCCGGCTGCCGCGGCTGCATTTTCGATGAAGGCAAAAATGCTGTAGGCCCGTGTGCCCAGATTCGAGTGCAAGTTAAAGATCCCCAGGTAGACAAAATTTCTGGAGCCCTCCACTATGGCGTGTCTCATAATAATATGGTGGTTTTGGGACGTTAAACCCCCCATATCAATCCATCAAAGTTCTGAGCTACTTGCCCCCTCAACGTTACTTTCAAATTTGTTACTGTCTGAAGCAACGCTCAACAACTGCTGTAAAAAAAACGTTTCACTTTCGTGTCATAACCATTCCTATGTAGGGGGATCAGCCACTCTTTCATTTAATTTTTATATTGTGAGCTCGTCAGTGTTATTCAGCGCTGTGCGCACCCTCTTCTGTTCCCACGTGTTGGTTGCGCAGATTTTCACTCATAACCCTGATAACACATGTGATGTTGCCTTGCATAAGCGCGGAATCGCCGAAGATGTCGCACCATGCGAAATACGTAAAGGGTGGGTTGTTTGAAGCTCGACCTCTTACAAAGCGCAGAGGCGTTTAAGTTCTGATCATCAGTCACAGCATGGCTTGACATCTCTGCCACTCTTAAAGAACAAAAAAAGACAGTTAGAGTAGCGATGACAAAGGTTTGTCATCGCACATGTTCTCATTGCTCATACTGTCCTCGTCTATTATAAGCGGTCAAGAGGCAAAGTGCCAACTACGCAAGACTCGAGCCACAAAATTAAAGTGTCCAGCTGTGTAGGTTCACGTTTTCCCGTTTAAAGTTATAGTATAGGTGCTTCGCTACTCTTGAAAATGATGAATTATGGCTAGCACTTTGCAAATTCACATGTATACGGCGTTCAAGGAGAGATTGGCATAATTTAAAACTGCCATTGCCACGAACGCGGACGTTGTTTACATCCATGGCCGGTTGTGTTGTCAACTGAGAAGCGTAGCGTATATAGCAAGCGAGAAAAAAGGAAAGCGAAAAAGGCCCTGTTGTGTTATCACTCTTTAGGTGAAGCTTGAGCGTCTACGAAATGGTGTGAATTCTTGTGCAGGATTTTTATTTAATAATGTTGACAAAGTGATCATACGTACATAGTTTTATATATTTGAGGTTTAGCATGAAAACAAAACGAGAAGATATGCAATCTATTATGAGGGCACCGACTCATATTTCTGAGCTAAGCACAACTGTTACGGGACGCTGTTGATTTGCGAAAGCAAAGAATAAGTTTGACAAAGTCATAACACCAAATTCCTCTATATGCAGATAGCCAGTTTTGCCTTGAGCAGTGTCAGCGGTGTGCTTTGCCTGGTGGCTGCTGCTTTCCTGGTGCTACACGTGGTGCTCTATATCGACCGGTACACGCTGTGCAGCGACGATCCAGTGCGTCGCCAGTGCCTGTGCTACCTCGCCGAAGCATCGACACGCTTCTACCGATACGAACGAGTCACATGCCTGCAGGTAGGCGGCACTGATGTCTAGCCAGTGCTGTTCACAGAAAACGAAACCCATTCTTTGACCAAGCACGCGCTCAAAGGCACACTAAAAAGAAACGCTGCATACGTTAGGCTCGTTTTAAAACTGATGCGTTTTGCAGAATTCCCGCAATATTGCCACGTTCCATTTCCCAAGTTTTTGTTATCGTCTCAAAACACCACACGATTCTCAGCGCAAACCGCGCCTGCAGTTTTCGAGAGGGTTCCGGACTGTAGTAGATCATTTCGATAAGATCACGCCCACTGCGCGAATGGTACAGATTGTTCTGGAACGTACGCCGCCGCCAGCAATAGCGCTAGAACATTCGACGGCGGGAGTATAAATGCCGACGCGCTTCGCCGCTTGTCAGTTGTTGATCGAAGGCCGACGCTCCGTTCGCCGCTATCAGTCTGAGACTGCTATCTGTGCGAGACTGCTGCTTTAATTGGACTTTCTGTTTACCGAGCACAGGTTCGCCCAAATAAACAGTTAAATCCCAACAAGAAGTCTCCTGTCTTCGGCCACGTCACGACCCCGTGACATTTGGTGGAGGTGCTGCTTCGTTCATGTACCGGACGCCCCCGTCAAGCCGTGAACCCAGCCCACGTCGCGGAGAAGACACCGACGCCAACCAGGAGCAGCGAACAAGCCGCCGACAGCAAGGGCTACCACCGGAGAACGGGCTTCTACACGACAAGCCGCGGAAGACCAAGGCCATGACTGCGACTGCAGCGACAATGACAACCGCAGCGTCCCAGCCCACGATGGTCATGCATCAACCCAGGGAACCACCAATTTTCCATGGGTCATCGTTCGAAGACCCGGAGTCCTGGCTAGAGACATACGACCGTGTGGCCGCCCTCAACCACTGGGACCATGACGAAAAGCTGCGTCGTGTGTTCTTCTATTTAGAAGACACCGCAAGGACCTGGCTCGAAAATCGGGAGTCCACGCTCCGAACGTGGGATGTTTTCTGCGGCGCATTCCTGCAAACGTTCGCGAGCGTCGCTCGAAAAGAGAGGGCCGCAGCTTTATTAGAGACCCGGGTTCAGCTACCAAATGAAAATGTCGCCATTTTCACAGAAGAAATGACCCGACTATTCCGTCACGCTGACCCAGACATGCCTGAGGAGAAAAAAGTTCGTTTCCTCATGCGAGGGGTCAAACAGGAGCTCTTCGCGGGGCTGATAAGAAACCCACCGAAAACCGTCCAAGAATTTGTAGCCGAAGCGACCACCATTGAGAAGACCCTGGACATGCGCACCAGACAGTATAATCGTCGCCTGACTGCAGACTGCGCTGCTGCTCAAGCCAGTAACTCCGGAGACCTGCGTGAAACGATCCGAGCGATCGTGCGGGAAGAGCTGCGCAAGCTGTTGCCTTCGGCGCAGCCTCAAGTGGATTCGATCCCCGACATTGTGCGAGAAGAAGTTCGGCAATCGCTTCAAATTCCCCACGCACCGCTGCCCGAGCCGGAAGCTATGAGCTACGCCGCTGCACTGCGCCACAACGCTCCTCCCCGTCCACGCCAAAACGCCGCCCCATCGCACTTCCGTCGACAGACGCCACCGCCGCCACCACCCCCACCGACGTCATACCGTTCGCCAGCGGCCCAGCGCAGTGCACCGAGGAAGACTGACGTCTGGCGCACCCCTGACCATCGCCCGCTCTGCTACCACTGCGGCGAGGCCGGACACACATACCGCCGTTGCCAGTACCGACAGATGGGATTGCGTGGCTTCGCCGTCAATGCACCGCGCCCACAGCCAGGAGAACGACCACGTGACATCGCCGACTACCTGACAGGAACTCGGTGGACACCACGAAGCCCTTCGCGTTCTCCGTCGCCCAGCCGCCGCACGTCACCTCACCACCGACAGTACTCTGGCCCAACGCGGGGCCGGTCTCCTAGCCCGTATCCGGGAAACTAAGGGCAGCAACCGGTGGAGGTGCGGTTGCTGTGCGACGAACTACCGAAGATCCTCCGACGACGACGACGCCGCGACGGAGCTTTCCGAACACAACGCCAACCAGGCAAAGCCCTGACAGTGAAAGCTCACTTACCGAAGGTGGCCTGACGACGCAACATGGAAGCAGCGGAGCAAGCCGACGCAGCCGTGACCCGACGCCACGCCCTAACTGTAATGCGAGACGGCGAATTAGCGACCTCGACGTTCTTATCGACGGCCGCAGTGTGACCGCTCTCGTCGATACTGGAGCCGACTATTCTGTCTTCAGTGGTTCGTTCGCCGCGAAGTTAAATAAAGTTAGGACAGCTTGGAAAGGCCCTGAAATCCGCACAGCCGGAGGTCATCTCGTGACGCCTACAGGAATCTGCACAGCGAGAGTCACCATTAACCGCCGTATTTATCCTACAGACTTCGTAGTCCTACAGCGTTGCTCGAGAGATGTCATCCTTCGCATGGACTTCTTATGCCTCCATGGTGCTGTCATCAACCTAAAAACAAAGTCAATAACGTTATCCACAGAAGAAGCACTACCGCCGCGCACGCCGTCTGGACACCATGCCTTGAATGTGCTGGAAGAACAAGTCACCATTCCGCCTCGCTCAAGCGTCATTATTTCAGTCGGCGCTCCTGAATCACCTTACTTCGAAGGCGTCGTTGAAGGCAGTCAGCATCTGTTGGTCACCCGAAATATTTGCGTCGCAAGAGGAATTGCAGAGTTGCGGGGAGGCAAAGCAACGGTTATGCTCACAAATTTCAGCAATGAGTACAAACATGTGAATAAAGGAACAACGGTCGCATACATCGAAGAAATTGTCGAAGCCACCAGTAGTTTCGCCCTCGCCGATTCTGCGGAACCTGCTCAGAGGAACCAAGCCCCTCCCATAGCTTTCGACGTCAATCCCAGACTTCCGAACGATAAGCAAGAAAAGCTCAACGCCCTGCTCCTGCAATACGAAGATTGCTTTTCGTCGTCATCGAAAATTCGGCAGACCCCAATCACGAAACATCGCATCATAACAGAAGAAAATGCCAGACCACTCCGTCAGAGTCCGTACAGGGTTTCGACGCGAGAACGTGAGGCCATCAAGAGACAAGTTGATGAAATGCTGCGGGATGACATTATCCAGCCGTCCAAGAGCCCATGGGCATCCCCCGTGGTGTTAGTGAAGAAAAAGGATGGGACCCTACGTTTCTGCGTCGATTATCGCCGCCTGAACAAAATCACAAGAAAGGACGTGTATCCTCTCCCACGAATAGATGACGCACTTGATCGGCTCCATAACGCCAAGTACTTTTCGTCAATGGACCTCAAGACTGGCTATTGGCAAATCGAAGTCGACGAAAGAGACCGAGAGAAGACGGCGTTTATAACACCGGACGGCCTCTTCGAGTTTAAGGTGATGCCCTTCGGCCTTTGCTCAGCGCCTGCAACTTTTCAACGCGTTATGGATACAGTACTGGCAGGATTGAAGTGGCAGACTTGCCTTGTGTACTTGGACGACGTCGTCGTGTTTTCCTCGAGTTTCGACGAGCATCTTCGGCGCCTTGAAGCTGTACTTCAAGCCATCAAGACTTCCGGACTCACACTGAAGCCAGAAAAGTGCAGATTTGCGTACGAAGAGCTCTTGTTTCTGGGGCACGTTATCAGCAAGTCTGGAGTTCGTCCTGATCCACGGAAAACAGCCGCCATCGCCGAATTCCCGCCGCCCACTGACAAGAAAGCCGTGCGCCGATTTCTGGGCCTGTGCGCCTATTATAGGCGGTTCGTGAAAAACTTCGCCCGCATCGCCGATCCTCTCACTAACCTTACCAAGGCCGACGTGGAGTTCAAGTGGGAAACGCCACAGGAACACGCTTTCCAGGAGCTTAAACATCGCCTCCAGACGCCTCCGTTACTTGCCCATTTCGACGAATTCGCCGAGACAGAAATACATACTGACGCAAGCAGCGTAGGTCTTGGCGCTGTTCTTGTGCAGAGGGCTGACGGACTTGAAAGGGTTATTAGTTACGCCAGCCGATCGCTATCCAAAGCAGAAGCAAATTATTCCACAACAGAAAAAGAGTGCCTCGCCATCATCTGGGCTACGTCGAAATTTCGCCCATACCTCTACGGCAGGCCCTTCAAAGTGTTGAGCGACCACCACGCCTTGTGTTGGCTAGCCACTTTGAAGGACCCTTCAGGTCGCCTCGCACGATGGAGCCTGAGACTTCAAGAATATGACATTACTGTCATTTACAAGTCTGGCAAAAAACACTCCGACGCCGACTGTCTATCTCGTGCGCCTGTCGACCAACCGCTACCCGACGACCCGGATGACGACTACTTCTTGGGAACGATAACTACCGACGACTTCGCTGAACGACAGCGGGCCGACCCGGAACTTAAGGCCCTAATAGAATACCTCGAAGGCAGGACCGCCGAAGTCCCGAAGGTATTCAAGCGCGCACTTGCGTCGTTTTTTCTACGAAACGGTCTTCTACAAAAGAAAAACTTTTCACCGCTTCGGGCTAAGTATCTCCTTGTGGTGCCTTCAGCTCTGCGACCAGAACTCCTGCAGGCCCTGCACGACGATCCGACGGCAGGGCACCTCGGTGTTTCTCGCACGCTCGCGAGGATACAAGACAGGTACTACTGGCCGCGTCTTACCACCGACGTCACTCGTTATGTGAGAACATGCCGGGACTGTCAGCGACGCAAGACACCGCCGACAAGGCCAGCGGGACTTCTGCAGCCAATTGATCCACCTTGCCGACCTTTCCAGCAGATTGGTATGGACCTACCGGGGCCGTTCCCGACGTCGGCTTTCGGAAACAAGTGGATCGTGGTAGCTACCGACTACCTCACCCGCTACGCCGAGACAAAAGCCCTGCCAAAAGGCAGTGCATCCGAGGTAGCTAAGTTCTTCGTCGAAAATATCGTCCTACGTCACGGCGCCCCGGAGGTCCTTATCACCGACAGAGGAACGGCATTCACTGCCGACTTAACTCAAGCGATCTTGGCATACAGCCAAACAA